GCCTTTATTTTTGTAGACTCAAATAATTATTTTTTAACAGGATAAGCATATAAGCAGTAAAAATCTTATCCCTTCAAAAGGTTATGGTGAGGCGCAATTGGCCGCAGAACTATTTGCATGTGGAAACGAAAATATGCTTTGTATTGCACCTCAAACTCATGTAATTTTTGATCAAATTATATTTGCTGTCAGGGTTATTTCTGCATATTTTACATTCTACAAGACTGTAATCCCTAAAGAATACTGGAAAGAACTTGATTATGGATTACCACGTAAGGAGTCAATTATAATTAAAAGATGGCCAGAAGATGTGCATCCAACAGGTGGTCTGGATATCACGGAACCAAGTGGAAGGCAAAATGTATTGGGAGCTTTTTTCACAATTCGTAAACTTCTTATGCAATAAAGAAAAAATAAAAGTCTTTTTTTAATAAGTTCTGTTAGAATTAATTATCTATTTAAGAAAACTGCGAATTAAACGTAAATAGGATATTTTAATCATTATTAACCGATTTTTTGAAAATTCTATAATAATACTGAGAACATTGATTTGGTGTTCTAGTTCTAATTGAATCAGCTACATATTTCCATTTCTTTCCAAATTCACAAAATGCTTTATTAAATGCAGCAATCTCTTCCAAATTCCATTTACCTACGTTAATATTAGGATTCGTTCTTGGATATTTTATATATCGAAGTTTTATATCATAAAAACTCCTCCTTGGGAAGTATTTTTTAATAACCTCCCAATCTTCACCGTACTTTTTGACTAGATCATAAAGTTTTTTATCTTCATCTTTTGTCCACTTTACTCTATTAAGATAAAAATAATGTAGATAAACATCATCTGGCGAACGATTAAAAGTTTTTCCAATCATTGTCCACTTATTGCCATGTTCTTTAATTAATTCTAAGAGTTTTGAATCTTCTTCTGGAGTCCATTTTCCACGAGTTTTAGATGAGATAACTTTCCAACGTGATCTAACTTGTAAACTATCTCTTTGTTTAAACAATTTAGATATTTCTACCCATTTTCCAGCACCATAAATTTTTATACCATTTTTTAATATTTCATCTTCTTCAGGAGTCCAATGATTATAATAAGAAGGTCTTTGTTTAATCATATTTAACACACGCCATTTTTGATTTAATAATCTAGGACTACGATGGGGTTTAAAAAAATTTTCCCAAATTATTTTCCAATTAGGACCATATTCAGAAATTGCATCATGTAATCGTTTTATTTCTTCTTCACTCCATGTAACTACTTTTCGCGGTTTAATAGGTTTTACAAAATTATCATTTTTTTTATTACAAGTTAAAGTTGAAGAAAATTTTTCATTAATTTTAATACCATTTTTAATCCATTTTTTTGATATATTAAAAATGGTTAAATTGAAACTTTGTAACATTGTTTTAATAAAAAAAAAAAAGTATATCTTTTTTATTTTTACAATCTAGGGGGTTGAGTTTTGGGGTGACACGGTAACTGTATGTAACAATGGGGATACTACGTAATTAATAAAAAAACTACGGAATGCAGATTTGTGCATAGATCGGTAGATACTATCGCTATACGTATAGTGGAAACTAGATTAGTTTAATGTTAAAAAAAGCTATATACATTCTTTTACGAAGTAAATTCTTAGATTTAATATACGTATATTACAGGAAATTCTTACTAATTTAATCTTAAAAAAATATTTAATTAAAAATCTTTAACTTCTTTTTCCAATCGATTGATGGAAAAATCAATCTTTTTTGGATACTAGTCTTCACTAGTGAATTTATCGATTTTGCCGTTCTATGCACAAATCTGCACTACTACAATACCTGACATAGTTTTGATAATTAGTACGTATACGTATCGGCGTAACAGGCAACAGTAACAGGTAACAGTAATTGATTATACTACGTACGTACGTACGTACGTATAAGTATAGAGATTTATTAATCAATATTTGTGAATAATGAATAAGAAATCTTATCCTACATGCGTACATGCCCAGCAAACGATTTAATATCACTCTACATATTTTAGTATGGCGGCAATACATGAGTTACGGTAATACGTAGCGTAAATCTATTAAATATGCGTTATTTAATGAATTGTGGACGAGATATTCCACTAATTAACAAAAAATAACAAAAAAATAACAAGAAATAATATATATAAGTTATATATATTTTACTAATACGTACGTAACGGTAAGATTATGTTATTTTTATTTATCATTCTACGTAATGCGTCTGCATATTCCCTTATTGTTATTACGAATCAAAGTTTCCTATTTCAACTTACATAATGGATTTTTGGATTATGTATCATTAATGTTCATTCAGCGTATTTTTCTAATATATCCTTGCAGTTTGTTCCTACTACGTTTTTAATTAATCTAGAAATATTTTTATTAATGAAAGTATATATAATTACGAGTTTATATGATTGAAAAAACAAATATTGAATTGGGTTATTTAGCATATGATGTATATGATATACACAAGTCGTTTCGTTACAATCGTATTTTTTTTATAGATTGATAAATTATGTCGGCAAGCGAAAGTAATTATCGGGATATAAGTTATGCCGATATATATATTTTTAAGGTTATTTATTATTATTGTCAAACAATCTTTTTATTGTATTAATGACTTTCACATTTTTTGTGTACAAAAAAAAAAAAATTGAGTGATTATTAAACTTTATTGTCTGTTCATGAATTCTAATCACGATTGGTATAATTCAAACATCGTTGTTGCTTTCGACACAGGTTGCCTCTCATCTTCATATCACGGACACATGCTTCCCGGACCTATCAAAACATCAAGCGCATATCGATATGCATTGAAGGTCTGTCGATCACTTTAAGGGACGTGTCACGAATATTCGGCAAAATTTATGTGATAATAATGCTGTAATGGAGGAGAAAAATTAAATATTTAACACAGTAATACCAGATACACTGGCCTCTAAAAGTGGGATAGTCTAAGCGTGTAATTCTTGTAATTCTATGAAGTTATGGCCATCCCAATAGCGCGTATCAATCGATATAGGGTCAATGTGAAAATAACTAGTTTAAGTAATATAAAAAAATAAAATTCTAGGCATTCTACATTTATTAATAATATAAAAAAGAATTCTAATAATTTAATAAGTAGTTAATTTGTTGAAACATCCGATGGGATTTCAATATTATAAGGTTTTGCTGAATATAAGTCATCTATAAAATAATTATAAAATCGATGCAATCAGTATGTTATTCAATCAATACGATGCAATAATAATAATAATAATAATAATAATAAAATAGTAATAAGTAATAATAATAAAATAGTAATAAAGATTACCGTCATCCAAAACTTCAAATGTTTCTTCTTTTGAAATGGCATCCAAATCGATAAATTGACTATAATAAACAACATCCTCACTCTCAAATATCGTAGGTTTCTCTTCAACATCACTTTTTATCATTTCATCAAGCTTTTTAAATTCCTCATATTCATTTACCAAGAAATACCAATCTAATAAAATTTCATAAATTTCTTGAATATTTGGCCTTTTATGCGGTTCAGAATCCCAACATCTTTTCATCAAATCAATATAACACTGTGGTGTTTCATCTACATCAATTTCTGGTCTTTCACCATTACAAATTTCTAAAGCTAAACTAGTGTTAAATGGACATCCATTAAATGGTGACTTTCCTGAAGAAAGTGTCCACATTATAATTCCAAAACTATATATATCAGATTCTTTTGTATAAGGTAGAATTCTTTCTAATACTTCAGGTGCTACATAAGGAAGAACTCCAAATACACCTTTCAAAGTTGTTTCATTACTTGAATTTTTTGAGCCTTGATCAGATAAAGTTATAAAGGGATATAATCCAAGATCTGAAATAAATGCCGAACCATCATCTCCAATTAACACATTTCCTAAATGTAAATCATGATGAACAAACCCTAATTCATGAATTAATTTTAATCCTTTAGTGATTGAAATAAGAATTTTTAATTTATCATCAAGCCATTTCATATTTTTAAAGTTTTTAGAAAGATAATTTCGTAAATCTCCTCCTTTAATATAATCGGTAACCAACATATATTCTTGAGTATTTGGGTTTCGAGTCAGGCCGTAACATTGAATAGAACCTAATAATTCGTAACGTAATTCTGTGTACGATGTGACAAGTTTGACGTATGATTCAAGCTGTCCATTTAACAAATTTCAATTACATTGCATTTTGTTAGAAAAAAGTATATATATATATTAAAAAAAATATATATGCATATATATATATTAAAAATTAAAATATATATGTATGCATATTTATGTAAATATACCTCACGAAGAAACTCGGGAGTCACATTAACGGAAGATTTTCCAAGGCTTTTAATGATCACGTTTTGTTCGCCATTTCTTGCCATTCCATATAAATACATAGATCCATCTATCCAAGAAGCAGAAAAAACATCACCTCGTGAACCTTTACAAATTTTTTTAACATTTGTAAACCTATCATAATTAATCCATTCGATATGATCAAAAATATGATTAGATTCAATTTGAGTACGAAAGATAATCCTATTAATTTCTGGATGCCCACTAGTCCAAGGGGGAAGCATGACACCAGGCACCAGACCTAATCCGCAAGATTCACACCAACCACTATTATTATTAACCTTTGATCCAGAGGTTTGGCAAAGGCAAAATGGGGTAATTGGAATATTAGAAACTTTGCTCTTGTCAATATAATTATTTATATATTCAATAATTCCTCGTTCTTTTTTACGTAATCTGTAAACCTGAAGAGCTCTAGATAAGGTAACGGAATTTATCACCTTATCCTGAACATCTAACACACAAATTGTGGTAGCAAGAAATAAATAATATCCGGAGAGATGTGATATTTGTAAAAGAAGTGATGGCATAAATAAAGATAAGATATATGCAATTTCCTTTAACAAAGCTGGAAATAAGTATAAATATAAACCTAATCCACAAATACGAATTAAAAGAGCAAAACTATCATAAGGAAAAAGCATTTTTGGTAAAGAAGATACACTAGAATAAATCAAAAAACTAAATACTAAAATAAAAGATATCCAATAACCATATATGATATAAGAAATCGAAGCTAATAATAAAAAACATCCTGATATTAAAGATATGATAAAATATCTATTAAGTATCAAATGAAATGATTTTAAATGGCTTTTATCCGTTTCTAAATAAATAGCGATGATTAAACTAAAAATGAATGTATAAATACAACAATCTATGTCAATTATTCGCCATAATAAAGTTTCAAATAATATAATAATAATAGTCTTTGGAAGATATTTATAACCATGTGAAAATGGATATCTAAGAAAATGGAAAGCTGTTTGATCCATATCTAAATACAAAACAAAATTTTATCAAACGCAATAACGATAAATAAATGATTTTCGTAATATCGTTTTATCGTATTATCGTATTAAAGAAGAATCCAAAGTTCTTTTCCAAAAAAAAAAGAATATATATATATGTTATATATATGTTATATATATATATAATAAATATGTTTGTAAGTACGTATTGTACTTACAGAAAAGTCAAGCTTATAACGTATAAATGAAAATGTGAAAGTTAAGGACCAAATATATCAGAATCAATAAGATATTTATAGCAAGATTAAAGTATGTATTCTTAAATTACATACCGCATAATGAAAAACGTCATGAGATTTGCACAATAAACAATGGCGAACAAATAGTGTAAAGCGAACAGGTAAAGTGCAGGTAATCACATATTTATTGTATCACGTCTCTTTACTCAACTATCATTATTGTTTACTATTACAGATTAATTTTTGCTAGTTTCCCAATTACATAAAACAAACGACTTCTTTTATTTCATTATGTTTGCATGTCAGATTTTGTTTGCGTTTTTATATATAGGCTTCATACTTATGCAGTATGACTTTACAGATATCATGAATATATTATCTTACGACTGCTTTCTGAATATTTATATTCATTCACGATGTATTTCCTAATTTTTTACGGTCCAATAACGAGCTTTAGTAATATTTGTAATATTTGTCAAGATATTTCCCGATCTTCAACCTTTTTCTAGAATAAATTTTGAAATCATGAAAGAATGAAAGGTTGTCATTATTTTTTGATCGACTTATTCGTCATTTTCATTTT